TTGTAACACATTGTAAAGAAATTTCCCTGGCTTAACTCTGCGCTACTTTGCTTCCGTTCAGCTAGAGTAAAAATCTTACTCTTGCTTGTTTACTTCATGTACTTTAACCTTATCTTTTAAAACGGCTAAAATGTTAATGGTTTTTATATAATTTTGTATTAACCAACTATGAGTTTTATCTACTTCGGAGATGATCTAGTTCCCTAGCACCGACAATTTTTTTCTTAACTATAACATTTCTAAAGTCATACGAAAGAAAATTCTTTAGTTCTTTTCTATTTTACTGTCATATGTCTTTAATTTGCAGAAGGTGCAATTTTAATAGTTTACGAGAGCGAAAGAATCGCTCTAATTTATGACATAGTATAGTTGATTTAATATGTTGTTAATTTTCCAGGAATTATTTATTGACTCTTCTTCTGTTAATTTATAACTTAATTCTACTTTTAAGAAATAACCTTAAATAAAAGTTGATTGTTATTACAGCTTGGCTATAAGAAGCTTTTCAGAACTGCTCACCTGAAATGTTTCATTACTGACTCAGCTTCCTCAGCTAACGTGCAATCATTCGACAGTTGTAATATGTCATATCATTGTACTGCTTAGGTTAGTATGTTTTGATGATGCTTTCCAGACTGTTTTTTGATTATTTTATGTATTGCCAAGCCAGTTAAGAAATTATTTTTTATTTCTTTCAAATAAAATATGTGATAAAATATATCGTACTCTATTTGCTCAACATTCTTTATCTAATATGACCTTATAATTATAACTTGTCTTATGTTTTTCACCAAGTTTTAAAATTTTTCACTCAGATTTTAGAAAGAATTTTTATAAGTTTTTTGAATTACATAACAACGTTCTTGCTACCGGAAAAAAATTTTGCGGTAGAGAAATGCGAGTAATTTTGCTTAACGATTTAGTAAATGAATTATGTGGCTTTTGTGGAAAAAATCTTAAAACAATTTTCAGTTTATTTGTTTGATAGTTGTTGTAAATCTTGCAAGTGTAACAAATTTTGCCACGGAAAATTAGATTTAATTCAGGTTTCTAAAACCTTTTTTGGCTTTTGAACGAATAAATTCAATATAATACCATAACATTGGTATCATAAGAGTAGCGAGGTGACGGCGCAATGATAGAAATCGCTAACAAAAAGATGCAGGAAGAAAGAGGTTTGCAGTGACTGCAACAAACCGATTGTTTTTTTACATATTGATCAGCGAATTGATATACGCACATCAATCACTTGTAATGAATCTTTAAAACGACTGAAGAAATCATTATAGTTTGATTTTTCGTTTACAGGAAATGTTGCAATAATTATTTTACGACTGTAAGCAACAGCTGTTCAATTTAATTATAATTATAACGATAATAACTTTAAAAGATAAACAGTTGTCAAATAATTGATCTTCTGATTGAAATAAGCGAAACTATTTGATTTATGTTATTTGTAAACGGCGCATTTGTTGTTTTACAGGTCGTCAACATTTTTACTGATCCTGGCCTTTTTTTTTATTTTTGAGACCTGAATTCCGCTGCTTGTTCTAATCGCTTTTTCATCTTTACAGTTTTCTTTCTTTTTTTGGTGACAAATTTGTCGCCGTAACAGAGCAAGGTAAACTGAAAATTGCAACCTCAACAGCACGACGCAGCTTTAGCTGGAAGTATTTAGCGAGTATAAATTGAGAAAGCTTTGAAGCGATCCTGTGCTTGCCTTGCACTGTCTCAAAACAAAAAAAAAAACTAGATTTTCAGTAGTTAAATTTTGACGTGTTATGGAAAACAATCTGCCCCAAAATCTGCTAATTATGAAAACGTTGTGAAAGAAGTGTTAATCTCTAGTGAAATGTATTTATTGCTACTTCATGCCATTTGAGAAGTGACGGGAGAGAGTTTGATTAATGTTTCTATTACAAAAAAACTTTGCGTACTTCGGTCTTGAAACTAATTTCTAAAAATTGCGGTACAGTTGCTTTCCAACAACATTCGATTAGTAATATTGAAAACTTTTCGAAGTTTCTTGTGATTCAGTTTTATAGTTCCAAGTCTTCTCTTTCGCTTGAAGCAAAGTTTTTACAAAATGTAGTCGGCTTTGATCTCTATATGTTTTAAACAGACCGGCATTTCCTGCTCTTAGAAGAATCAGATGCAGAATTTAAACTATGAGGTTTATAGAGCACTTGCTGACGAAGTTCTTTTACCACTACTTTTAGTTTTTTCATCAAAGACGTGCTTGCCGTGAAGTGCATAATATTGTTTAACTTGGAAAACAGTCAGTCATTAAGACATTTTCCAAAAAAAGTGACAGTCTAAGTTTTTTTGGTTCTGCTCTTTAAAAATGGTCCACGCTCCCACTTTTTAAGTAGAGTTTTGAAAGAAGAAGACATATGGACTGGTTCTGCCCAAGATTAATTATTGTTTGACCCGGCTTAAATCGTGACAGTATCTGCGATTTTTTTTAACCTGCATTCAACTACTATTTTTTTTTTTTTTTTTT